ATTCTGAAATCGCTCCACCCTGACTAGAGGACTCTCCTTGTGTTACCTGAGTAGGCTCCACCTCTACTAAGTCTTCTTTGAAGGTAACCTTCTTCCTTTTAGTCTTAGTCACCTCAATCTGCGTAGAGTTGTTCATCTCTGAATCTTTATCTTTGAACAATTTCTCCTCATGAAAAATCACATCTTTGCTGATAGTAACCTTCTGCTCATCTAAAAGCCATACTCTGTAGCTTTTTGTTCCTTGTGCATAACCCACAAATATTCCCTTCGTAGCTCTAGGACTGATTTTATCAGCAATAGTATGAACATAAGCTAAGCAACCAAATCTCCTTAGATGCCCATACTCAGGTTTACCACCAGTCCATAAAGCCTCTGGTACCTCAAAATCAATAGATGCTGACGGAGATCTGTTGATAATGTAGATGGCCGTGTGTGCTGCTTCTGCCCAGAACTCTCCACCCAAACCTGTTTCACTTAACATGCTTCTGACCTTATCCATGATAGTACGATTCATTCTCTCAGATATCCCATTCTGCTGAGGCGTGTAGGGACATGTTTTGTGTCGCTTGATCCCTGACTCTCTGCACAGATTATCAAACTGATTGTTACAGAACTCTAACCCATTATCTGTCCTTAAACATTTCAGTTTCTTCTCAGTCTGATTCTCAGCCAACGTTTTCCAGTCAACAAACTTCTGGTAAGCTTCATCCTTTGTCTTTAGGAAATATATCCATACCTTCTTAGAGTAGTCATCAATAAACGTTAGGAAGTATTTATTTCCTGATAGGCTTGGTGTGACATTTGGTGAACCCCACATGTCTGAATGTACATACTCTAAGATATCTTTTGTCGTGTGTTTACCCTTTGGAAAACTTTGCTTATGAGATTTTCCCATTGTGCAGGCCTCACAAAATCCAAGCTGTTTGACATCATCCTTCTTAATATAGCCTTTCCTGACTAATGCTTCCATCGAAGATAGGCTCATGTGAGCGAGCCTTGAATGCCACCTTTTCGTCATATCCACAGGTGCTTTTGCCACATTTACTTGAGGCACTCTTACTTTTCCTTGTAGAAAATATAATCCTTGATCATACTTTCCTGATAGAACCTTTATGTCTCCTTTGTAGAAGTCAACTGTGAAGTTACTGCCACTGTATTTGCATCCTGATTGCTCAAGCTGGCCATACGAGATAAGATTCCTTCCCATATCTGGTATATGTCGAACCTTGCTTAGAGTAATCACAGAACCATCTGGATTATCTATGGTGATATTACCTCTGCCTTTAACCATACAGTAAGTGTTATTGCCCATCAACATTTTAGTTTCTTCGCCTTCTTCAAAATTAGATAGTAGCTCTTTCCTTGGTGTTATGTGAAAAGTGCAACCCGAGTCTAGAAGCCATTTGCTTTCTTCTGCTTGTAGACTCGCTGTTAGAGCTATAGGCTCAAGAAGTTTGATTGCCACATTTGCGGAATTGTTTGACTTGCCCTTTCTTTGTGGACAATCTTTCTTCCAATGATTTTCATCACCACAGGTCCAACATGCTTTAGGCCCGAACTTGCTCTTTGATTTTGACCTATTTCTGCTGTTTCCTCTGCCTTTACTTTTGTTGTTGCTGTTTCCATGATTGCTTCGTTTCTCTGACCTTCCCCGGTCTTCAGCATACAACTCTTCAGCTCCTTGCTTTGATTTGTTTAGAAGTCCTTTTGCCCTTAACTCTGCTTCTTTTGAGTATGCAGATGACGTGACTTCCGCTACAGTCAATGTCTCCTTCCCTGAGCCATATTTCAAGGTGTGGACTAAGGGCTCATACAGTGGTGGGAGACTCGTCAGGAGCTGGATGGCTTGGTCCTCCTCGCTGATTGTGATCTTCAAGCTCGCTAGATCAGCAATGAGCTTCAAGAAGGTATCCAAATTTTCTTCAATGGTACGATTCTCTTCCATCTTAAAACCAGCAAAACTTTGCTTTAGGTAGATCCTGTTTGGAAGAGATTTTGTCTGATAATCTCTTTCCAATGCCTTTCACATACCCATTGCAGTAGGTTCATGCATAATTTTCCTTAAGATTTTATCAGTGAGACATGTACCCAACAGATTTCTGACCCTCAGATCTTTATCTGCTTCCCTCGGATCCAATTTTAGATCCTTCATCACAGATGCTAACCCAGATTTTGCGTCACCTGGCGTGATAATCCCTGACGATGCAGTCCCTGGAGTCACAGCCCCTTGAGTCACAGTCTCTGAAGTTGATGATTCTGGTGTAGAGGATGTTTCCTTCAAAACTGATCCCAAACCCTGAATCTCTAACTGCCCGAGAAGTCTGTATTTCCACATCCCAAAATCCCCTGTACCATCAAACTTCTCCATCTCGAACTTTCCTTGTGTAGGTTCCATGGTTGATCTTTTCTTTGTTTGACCTATTACCTGCAGATAACAAAACCAGCAAAGAGAAAGAATCACTAGCAAACTGAGCCTCACACGCACCGCTCAAGAATTTCAGAGAAGTAATCAAGAGAATTATGAGAATTATAACGCAAGTATCAGAGGATCAAAGAAACTTCCTGAGTTTGTTTGATCGATGATGACTAATCCACCTCCAGGTGATCCGATCGGCTTCACCAGTAATCCGTGAAGCTTTGTGATCGTCCGATCCTCGAACCGGTAAGATTCGAACCTCGTTGTCTTCTTTCCTCCACGAGCTGATCGCCTTAGTATCTCTTGAATGTTTCTAACCTACGCTCTGATACCACTTGATGCCGATACTCTCACAATCAATCGTTGATTCAACACCTTGAATCTCTCTCTCAACTCACTCGATTTCTCTCCTTGTGTTTAACAGAAAATAGAAAGAAGAGGAAGATGAAGACGCAAGTTTATAGAGTTCCCCAAACCGGGTACATCTCTCTTCAGGATTGATCCTGGAATCCACTAAGAGCTTTGTTCGAGTTACAGAGTGATTTCTCAGAGATACAACAATGGAGGAATCAGAAGAAACAAAGAAGATGACGAATTAGTTTGTTACGTCCGTTTCTCTTTCCTTCTTATCCTGTACTATGCGGTTGGACCTGCAGCAAATCAATAAGGCCCAAATGCTTTTCTTCCTTTCACCTAATCTCCTTTTAGACTTGTCTAACAACGAAACCCACCTTGCTTTAGTAATTGAATTAGGATTCAAAGTCCACCGTAACTAATTAATGTGTTTAATTAGGAGGGTACGATTTAATTGTATAACCAAAAGGAGGACCAATTCGAAGATGCCACGCTCCATACGTAACGCCGTGCGTATATCCTATATGTAAGTGAGCTAGTATGCTTTTTTTTTGTTTGTTGTCTTTGACTTGTGTTGGTGTTCTAAACTTCTAATGAGAGCTATTTTTTTTTTAAAAAAAGTTGATAATAATTCGTCACCTTTCATCAATTCATTGTAAATGATGAGAATGGCGAGTTAGTGAATATATAAAGTTATAACATTCTAAATATAAGTTGTTTGTCCTTTTGATCCTAATAAGGTTTTTGATAGTATTTGTCATAGTTTTACAAAGTGTACCTCTTATAAAGCGGAAACTTCTAACTAAGATTTACCAAAAATGGTACGAAATTTTTAGTGGTAAACTGAATATTTTAACGGTAAGCTATAATGATTATAATGATGAAGTACTTATAGAATAGTTAAAAAAAAAAACTACAAACAAAAACTATATAAAAAAGCTAAGTGTAATATTGGTAATAACGTTTTCCTTACTAGTTTTGTGATTAGTAACTATCAAAACAACATGTATCATAGCTTTTGGGTTGCGTTACCAATCAGACGTGACAACAAAAGTTATAAAGTTATAAAGGGGTTGAGTTAACAGCATTTTTTATAAATATATTTAATAAATAATTGTATGATTATATTAAAATATATATTGATTTGATTCTGGTCTTGTGGCCATTGAGACGACTCTACTCGAGGCGTGATAAAAGGGTTTGGGTATAACTTTATTCCTACTTATTTACCGAGTAAAACTAATAACACCATCCCAATTCCCAAGTAATGGAGGAGAATAACTTAATAACAGTGGTCCATTTAGACGTAGTTACGTGTGTTTCGATTTGAATATTCTTTGTTTACCTTTTCTGTTGTTTTTTGGAACTAATTATTTTTTCCGTTGTTAAGATTTTAAGTGTTTCGCATTGTTGAGAAAACTACATAATGCGTTAGCGTTAAGACTAAAATACTGTATTACAGATGATCTATATATGTATATAGGAAAAAACTTTTTAGTCACATTTTTCGATATCGATTTCATATTATGAGTTTTTCGATTACATACTAATCATTCTTCTCATTTGTCGACGACCTGGCCACATTTCTCGATGTCGATTTCATATCATAAGGAAAATATATTATATGATCATTCTTCTCTTTTGTCTAGGCTTGACCCAAGACCAAGTGGTCAAAGTTTGAAATTGGATGTCTGAAAATTGCGCACCGATAAGTCAGACACACAACTTAAAGCCTTAGAGATAGAGTCAGACTCAGACACACAAATTGATTAGGGCTAAATGGCTAAATGCATGATAACGAAAGAAATTACAAATTATAATTTCCAGTCTTGTCTATCGAAACTTTGTAGCTTTCTATATAAATTACTAATCCATATTAGATTCGGCTAAAATCGGTCCAATAACTTTATATATTAACTCAGTAAATTAAGCAGAAGATACAAAAAGATACAACATTTTTAGAAAATCAAGGTTTAATTTGAGCCGAGATTGTTTTTTACTTAGATGACGCTTTCGATTAGTTATGATTTTTTTTTTTTGTAAAACAAATATTTGTGTAAGTTTAAATAAAGATTACACTCAAAATACCAATAAGTTTGGTATAGATAAAGGCCCAATAAGTTTGGTATAGATAAAGGCCCATTAGGAGATGGTCATGTGGCGGTCTAAATTAAGGATGAGGGTATAATATTGATTAATATAGTTTACAATTAGCATAAAACATATAAATGTGGGACCCAATATTATGCTAATCCAGTCTGGCTCATTCGGTTTTGTTTTCAAAATAGACCAATTCTATGTTGCCTTCTGGAGATCATGCAAATGCATTCCACAGACATTCCCAGAAATCGACTCACGAGATAAACCCTACAAATCCTAAATTCCATCGATTTTCCACTTTCTCATCATCAACGAAGCAAGAAGATGACTGGTGTCAGCACAGTTCCTGGTAAATTCTTCTCGAGGTTTATGTTCTTTCGCAGTCATACCGTTGCGATAAATCTCCTCCTTAGTTGATTTGTTCTTGCTTTTACTAAATCGATGTGATGAATCTTGGTCTTAATTTGAATCGATTATTTTCCGAATTGGAAGTTGAGAAGAGATAAAACTTGAGAATTTGTTGTTTGTATATGGTGCGATTGATTGCCGAGGAGCAAGAGAGATGTATGAATCTGGATTTTCTCAAAATTTGATCATGAGCTTCTGTGTTTTTTTTTGTTTTTGTTTGAGATTCTTAGAAGCCAATTTGTTTATTACCATCGCCGATTTTTCTGGGGTTTAATGGTGATTTATTGGGCTATTGCGACAGATCAAATGATTGTTTTCTCTTATGCGTTTGATTGCTTTGGGTGAAACGATTACATGTATGAATCTAGATCTCTCGAATACATTACGAATCTCGTTTAGCTCTTGAGATTCTTTTTGGGTGAATCGATTACATTGCTGAGTTTTCTGGGGTTTACTGTTGGTTTATTAAGGTCAATCCATACGATTAAGCGTCTCATCCACATTCTTAATGATGATTTATGTTTATGTTCTTGTAGGATGTGTTATGTTATGTTGAGCATCACTCTCGATAAGTCGTGTATCTCATGTTATATGAAATTTGTGTGTGTATTTAGGTGATGAAAACCGTTCGGACAAGAAGATTCATGACGACATCGATGAGAGCAAAGTCAAAGCACCGAACGTGTTCGAACGAGCCAAAGAGGAGTTCGAGGCTGTTATTGGTGCTATTCATCAACGCAAGAGCTCGAGGTTTGTTGGTTTCTGTGTGTGTGTGTCCAATGCTATGAAGAAGAAGGGAAAAAATTCAAGCATTTTGATTATGCAAATGCCGTATGTTAGCATCTGTGTGAGCGTGTTCAAGAGTTTGCTAACGTTTTGTAAATCCTGTTTCAGGGACGAATCTGATAAGATGGAATTCAAATCCGAGAAAGCAGGTTCAGTTTTTTTCTCTCATCTTTGCATCAAAATCGTATTAAGGTTGTTTAAGATTGTTGGTTTGGTTGACATAAGATTACAGTTTGTCTAGTTTATGAGTTTTTTTTTGTTGGTGTGTGTGTTGGTTCTTGATTCATGTCCAAGACTCAATTCTGTTGTTTCACGTGGTTTATACATTTGACAGAAGATGGAAAGAAGAAACCGAATATGATGAAAAAGGCGAAGGAAGAGATCAAGTCTCTGTTCCAATCCAAGGAGAAACCTCATCGCCATCACCATCATCATCACAAAGAATCTCATGGAAGGAGTGATGAAATCGACGAGAACACGCCGGTGGATGAAGTGAAGGCTCCCAGTGTTTTCGAGAGAGCTCAGGAAGAGATCGAGGCCGTCATTGAAACCATCCATCCCAAGAAGAAAGTGACCGACGGTTCTGATTTGCCATCGCGTTCTGCTGATTCTGATTCACCGGTGCGGTCTGTCTTACCGGAGAAGGAAGAGAAAGCTGGGTTCGGATGCTCTCTTGGCAAGGGGCTGGAAAAGATTTGTTCTCCTTGGGGTGATAATAAAAAAGATTGAACTATTCATATGACTCATGAGCTTGTTTGCTAGTTTCCGTGATAAACTTGGTTTCGAGTTTCGGTGAGTTTGTTGATTGTAGGTACTAAATTGTTACCTTTTAAACAGACTAAACTTGTCCGTTTCATATTATAAGAAAAAACATACTTTGGTGTCTTTTGTGTAAATATTTCTTGTTAATTCGTGGATTTTATTGGTGCTAATTAATCTCTTTATAATTACTAAATTTGGGATATGTTTCCATATTCAAGAGATTTGAGGGACCTTTTATGTAAACACAGTAAATAAAAAATACCCCCAAGAGCGTTTTGTACAGTATTGTAGTATATTTTATTGGGATCGTTTCCTTTGTCTTGTTCCTCGCGGAGAGGCTGCATTAGGGTTCCGATCATGGCCTGTGCCTACTGGAAAGGTGTACTTTTGCACTCCGAAGATGGTAAAGCCCAAGTCTCAGGGAGAATCGAAATCCTCCTACGAATCCCCAGCTCTCCGGAGATTTGACCCGTACGACGATGAATGCATACGACAGTACATCCTGTACTACCACCAGTTCCACAAGAGCGAAGTACATTTTCTTCTATATTCCCTTCAAAATTAGGGCTCAAATTGAAATCACTAAGATTCGTCTACCCGAAATTACAGCGTTTGAGATTGTGATATGTTTTCGCTTTCGTTGGATTCGTGTGGTTAGGGCTTCCTGATTGATTGGTCTAATATGGATTATCGATTCGATACGGTGAATCTAATGGGCCCATATCGTGCCGGGCGGAGCAGGACAAACGATGAAATAATCCGTGACGCGGCTTGCCGTGCTATTCTCCAACAAAACGCCGACAAGGTCAGAAGAATGCAACACTTAGTTTGTTCTTGTCTTTGCCTTTGTTATGTTTCTTTTCTTACCTGTTTGCAACTATGCAGGGAACTAGGTTTAGGTTCGTCGATCACATCTCGGCAAGCTACCTGATTTGTGGGGGTATGCTTTTCTGGATTACGTTCTGGGCTAGGGATTTGGACTCTGTGTCCCGAGCCCAAAATGTATGAAACCAAGTGTCGCCTGTGTGCAGGCTTATGTTATCTCTATATCTTCAGGCTCAGACCCACGGATGCAGGTAATTCTATCTCTCACATTGAAACTCCTTCTGCATCAGTTTACTACTCTCAACATTCAAAAATTGAGGCTTTTGAGGTTCATAATTTGATGGTTATTTACTTGGATATCTTCCTTTAGTTGATGATGTTTCAGTCTAAATATCCCTTTATATGATGTAAACTTAGTGTTTTTGTGGTTATGATCTGCAGAGATTGCGGCTGTCCAGGTGGATCCCCCTCCTCCATTGTATGCTGATGATCCAGGTGGATCCTCCTTACTCTTTCGAATTTTCAGATTTGGGCTACTTGTATATGCATCTTGGTTTAGGATTTTCAGATTTGCGTTACTTATATGTGCATCTGCAAGTATATATAGAGATCCTAACTATGTTTCAAGTTATATGCATCGTGGCTGACTTTGGTTGTTTGGTGCTTGCAGAAGAACCCACCATATTGTTCACCGTGAAGGGTCCACGATCTGGATCCATGTCCATACCCGACGTTGGCTTCACCAGGATTCCTCCTGAAGTATCACCAGATTCTTGCTCTAGTTGATGAGCATGTCACGTCGCCAGAGTCCTCGCCGTGAATGCCAAAACGCTTAATTAGGCGCTTTCTCTATCTCTTTCTATTACCTTTTTTTTTTTTTTGGGCATTCTCTTTCTATTACCTAATTATTGGATATCGCAAGTGTCTGATTTTAAATTTATAATAATTTGACCCATTTTTTTTTTTTTTTTAATATTGTGATAAGTTATAAATTGTGGATATTTCTTTCTCTAGTACAGGCAATGGTGATTATCAAACCCATGTGAACTCAATTATATCTTGTCAACCAAAGCAAATGCTTATTTTATTTTGTTTCAAAACAGTGTTTTTTTTTTCCTCTGATTTTAGGCTATGGATTAAAAAGACTCAAAACAGAGTTTTTCCTCTGTTTTTAGACTGAGGATCAAAAAGACTCAAAAGCAGAATTTTTCTCTCTGGTTCGAGTGACTAAACCGATTCTAAATATAGAGACTAAATCCCGCAGAAAATCAGTAAAGTGAGAGAAGAAAATCCCGTTTCCTCAGTAAGAAAGACCAAACAGAAGAGTCCATGAAATGCGAGACCAAGTGAGAAGAACACAATATCCAAAAACCAAAAGGTGCTTTTTATGAAGCTGATAGGTTCCAGTTATAAATTATAGGACAATCAAGTTGATCAAACAAAATTAAAATAAGAAGAACAAGAACAAAAGTTTCCAACAAATATTTGATTCCATAATTAACAATGCTTAAATATCTCTGATAAACTAACTACCATAGAACGTGAATAAGTGGGAATACAATCCCATCAACTTAGGATAAACAAAAGCCATATCATAATAAAGAGCGAGTGGGAGTTTGTGTTTGCTGTTTTTTTCTTTTTTTTGTTATTTCTGAAAATGTGAAACACCCACCTCTCTTAAGTCATAGACTGATCAAGCTCCATCTTTTCTTCTCGGAAAGCACGTTTCTGGGGATAGGCTACTCCGTAGAACTCTGACCCACCCTCTGTGGTTCTCCGATGCATGTATCCGAAGCCACCGTCTGCCCATGATTCACCATGCGAATTCTGGATGATCCACTATGGTCTACCATACTGATCAAATCCATATCCCACAATAAGCACTTGGTGAAAAGATATATCCTTTAGTCCAGCTGGTGACCTGTAAATTTGGTCCTGCAAAATTTTAAAGCAATTTATTCATATGCACGACCTTGATGTTTATGGACATGTAAATAATTATGAAACATAACTTACAGATCTAAGATCCATGAAGTCACGACCAGGGTTGCGCAGTATCCCAATCACAGGCTGTTGGGCAACCAATGCCATAAGCTCATTGTCATTCACATCAGATATGTAGACAAAATCATCTATTGTCTCGGTGTGGATCTACAAAAAAAAAGTGATTAAACTTATTTTTACCCTTTTTAAAAGTTTAAAACTAATAAAAATATATAAATACTTACGTTTACCGGATGCCTGCACACAGAACTCTCGGCCACATTACCGTCAAATGATTTCGATGGACACTGGCTCGAACTACATGTCCCTTTGTTCTTTGCAAAAGCAAGCGCCTTCTTCATGTTATGTATTCCATCTTTCTCGTAAGGAACTGAGTTGACCACGTGTTGTATGGATAGCTCTTTCATTTGATTTGCTTGGGATACGTTGATGTTGAGAAGAGCTTGCATCGCTCTAACCAATGCAATAGCCCAACAGATAGCTTTAAGAAGAATATCAAACAAAACAACAGAATCAGGTGTTAATTAGTATTTTAAATCGAAACTAGTGTAAATTAATCAAATGATATTTGGAACTTATGTTTTTCACTTATATAGTACAAAGATCCCGATCTTTGATCTAACCAGAAAATCTATCTTAGAGCTCTGTTTCCATTTTTTTAGTTTTTTCGTACCTTTTTCAGCTATATTCATATCCAAGAAAATTGAAATGTTTGCAATTTTATCCAAACTTATAGTGGACTTGATAATTAATTTACTTCTCATATTAAAAACAAGAAAGAAACAAGTATGAACAAAAGTATATTTCATAAATAAAAGAATATTTTGGATTTTTTTAAAATTGTGTTCAGACTTCATAGGGGGTATGTGTTTCTATATATTTATTGTGCGTTATAGAAATAGTTAGGATATTATACATAAGGGTTAAAATGTAATTAGATTCAACCTGGTATTCTATGTGTATTGGTAGTATATACTGTATATGTGTACAAATCATTCCCATAAAGTAATCACATTCACATTCTATATACCAATACACATAAAGTACTAGGTTGAATCTAATTACATTTTGATACATAAAGCAGCTGTCTATTGTCACTCTTCTGTATTGGGCTAAAGCTCGCGGGCCTTACCTTTTCAATATATTAAGTTCTCAAAAAAAAAATGTATATACTCTTGATAATAAATTATATCAGCTTAAGAAATTAGCGAATAAAATTTTGTTTTTCATACGATATGTACTTTTCTGAAAATTTATTTAAATAATAATAACAAGAGTGTCAATATATGGAATATGTTTTAGTTAATGATTTTTCTTAATGTTTTTTAGTTGAAAGAAGTTCACGGATCTTTCATTTATTGAGATGCTCTATATTTTTAACCCATTAAAAAGAAAAACTTGCAAAGAAAAATAATAGCATGATGGAAAATTACCCAAATCTTTTTGGTCAAGAACTGGACCGAGTACTCCCGGCACTTTTCTCCAGTCCCAAGTAGCAGGAAGCTGTAAATTTAAAATATTACATTAATCTACCTGCAATTAGAAAGAAAGAAAAAAACCAATTTATTCTTACCTCTTCCTTTGATTCTTCATTGTCCACGCATTTTCCTTTTCCTTTCTCTTTAGCCTATCAAAATAAACATTTTGTTTTGTTAAATCCAAATAAACATTACAATCATTATTGTTTTTTATTTTTTATAATGGATCCTAGCAAAAGTAACTACAAAAGAAAGGAAAAAACACTCTCTTTTCATCAAATTTTTTGAAAGATATACATAGTCAATGTACATGCAAGTTAAAAAATATATATATTTTGGATGCACATACCGTAAAGTTTCTGTTTTTCTTGTCTCTATCATCTCTTCTTCCTCCTCCACTTCCTCGTGTAGCCATTTCTTATTTTAAAAGAAAATTCAAGAAAAAAATATAAAAGTGAAGACAAAGAAGAAAGTGAGAGTGAGAGTTCCAACAAAAGAATTGTTGAACGTTAAATAGAAAGAATTGTTGAACTTGGATTGAATTTTAATTGATTTTTATTATTATGTTCGTACTGCCAACAAAAGAATTGTTGAACGTTAAATAGAAAGAATTGTTGAACTTGGATTGAATTTTAATTGATTTTTATTTTTAAGTTCGTACTGTTACAGCTGGTCTGATATATTGAATATTTTTAGTTCCAAAAAAAAAAGATATTCTTGTAGTAATTTTGAATATACAAGACAAACAATTTATATTTTCAGTCAGTTTTTAAACCTAAAATAGTTTACCATTTGTTGACAATTTACTTTACCATTTAAGATTTTAAAAAGCTCTACACGAGAACTTAAAACTTACTACAAATTATTCCCATGCAAGGCGGGTTACATTTCAAATAACACCGTTTTTAATAACAATACATTCGATTATATTAGCAATTGTGAGCAGAAAAACTTATATAAGGGATGTTAGCGATAAGATGTGGTGTTAATTGTTGAAGATCTCGTTATGGAAAAGCAATTGTTGGAGTTATCACTTATTGATAATGTCGTCTTAAGGTACGAGTAACGACGATGTCTTTGATAGTGATGACTGATGAGTGATGAGAACATTATCTATAATTTTCTCGTCTGTCTCTCTGGATCTAATGTAGGAGTATCATTTTTTATTTAGTTAAATGCTCTAATGTATCATCTTAATTACGTACGGTTACTGACAAACGCTAATTTCTTTTCAATAAAAACTAACGTGACAATAGAGTGTTGTTTTCGTTTATTTTTATTTTTTATATACATAAGAACTGGTGTTTCATTGCCTTTCCAATTAATATGCCTATTTCTCTTAGGATATTAACCTCTACTCCAATATAATTCTCAGGATTCAAGATTAACGTGTCAATTTCATTGATCGTAGTCACACTTGATATTTTGAAGAAACCAATTTTCGCATCTCTTCCAGTAGCACTAACAACAACAGTTCTTATATTGCGGAAGTCGTTGAAGAGCTTCATGATTTTTAATAAGTAGCTCAGTGTTTTTTCTCTGCATTTTATGGAGTTCTAACCATTTATATAGAACATATACTCCTTCATAACAAAAAGTAATTTAAAAGAATGTAACACGAACTGAATGTTCATAACAATTAGCGGAGATCGAACAAAATTTCTAAATGCACTAAACGGTGCAACCATTTAATTTACACGTAAAACGTTACATATGAACTTTAATCGCATTTATAAGAAAAGAAAAAAACAAATTATTAACATGATTCTTTGTCGGCATAGGAGGATGCATTGCCAGTGCATTTATAGCTATTTTTATGAGATATCTCCTTTTGTATCCCTAAAATCCTCCAACCGATATAAAAACGGGCATTTAAATTTAAAGTTTCTGATTGCTAAATTCCTCGAACATATGTACGGAACTTCAATTTACTTCTTGACTTGTTTGTCACACTGTCACATTCATTTTGATATTATGATCTCTCCTTGTTTTTATTTCTTCCCATTTTACATTTACACATGTTACTTCAAATTTATTTACACATTTACACATGTACCTTCCAACTTGAAATGAATCAATATTGAACTTGAATTCGGGATGAATATTGATTCATTTCAAGTTGGAAGGTACATGTGTAAATGTGTGAATAAAATTGAAGTAAAATGTGTAAATTATTAAACACGAAATTCATCTTGAAATTCGGAAAAACAAGAAGTACTTTAACACAAAGAAAAAAAAGAAAAACAAGAAGTAAAAAGCAAAGAGGTGACAAAATTATTAAACACGAAAAAAATCTATTGAAGGAGATGTGATGAAGCCATAAAGGTCATGTTCAACTTAATTAAGTAATTTTTTAAAAAGATAGGTTGGCTGGTGAAGTTAAATGTTTTTTCCTGAAAATCTAGATTAAATGCCGACACTAAAACACATTATTCGTTTCGATAGTTAAAACACAATATTCATAATGCAGATATTAAAACACATTATTCACAATGCAGACAATTTATTATGTCGAATGTAGATATTAAAGCACATTATTCATAAGACAATATATTTTTGTTGTTGTCAAGCAACAAAAAGAAATTTAGAAGCAAGTAAACACAAACAAAATATTTCGTAACAATTAACCGAGTTCACATAATTCCTAAACACACTAAACGACTCAACCATTACGTAAAACGTTATTTTGCTAATGTTAAAAAAAACGTTATCTGTTAATTAATCTATTGTCTAAATGATATGATTCGGCGTTTGCTAAATGATCGGTGGCTTGGTGCTATATAAAGTTTAATAGCGCCCCTACAAAAAAAAAAAAAAAAAAAAACAGGTGATTAACAACGAAACGATTTTATTATTAATCGTTTTAAATGAAGGTTTGGGACAATCAACAATGAAAAACAATTAATTGTTAACAGTAATTTGGGATTCATCGTTAAAATTTTGTTGTTAACCGATGGCACTTTAGTAATGGGACCGTGCCTAGATATTTTTATGCCCTAAACAAGTTAAAATTGGTAATTCAATGTTTAAGTATTTTATAATAAGTAAACTACAAAATTTTAAGAAAAATGATTTACAAATAAATTGTTATAAAAACTATTACAAAACAAATAAATGTAATATATGTAAAACTATGATTTGTGAAATGTGATACTTTAAATAGAAAAGTTTATGTATAATTAAAATTGTTAAGTAAGTATAAACGAAAATAAATTAGATAAAAATTCATAAACAAGTACAAAGTTAGTGAAAATAAGACTGAATGAGGTAAAAATTAATTATAAAAAATCTGTAGATAATTGTTTTAGATAAAACATAGTTGAACTTTTGGTTTTTGGTGGTCATTTACATGAAGAAAGCAAACTTACACCATATAAATTTTTAAAAATATTTGTAAATTATGCCCCCCTAAATTTTATATGAAATCAAATGCCCTTTCTAATGTTTCTATTTTTATCAAGTAAATGCTATAACAATGAATTCTCATCAGTTGTTATATCGTTGTTTAAATATTACTATCTTTTAAACCCTTTCGCAGCAAAAATAAATATTAAAAAAAATATTACTATATATATATGATGATAAAATAACGAATAAAAAAACAATTATTGTTATTTTATACTAGATTTACGTTAAATCTTCGCAAAGTGTTTACCGTGACTTTTAACTTCGTAATTAGTGAAACTTTCTGAAGGAGTTAATTAGTTCGGAACAATAACTAAAAAATGTGCTATTTTAGAATATTTCGTATTAAGAGAAATTATATGTCAAAATATGTTTTTGAGGAACAAGTCTATAAAAAAAAACTCTAAAAGATTCTTATTATAATTGCCTGCATAAAATAGCTTATCAATAAGTAAACATCTTACTCCACAGGAAAAATTATTGCAAGATATGCCCATGAAATGTCAAAGGACATGCAGATTCCAAAATTCATCTGCAGGTAAGAAGGTAGAATACAAATCAGATTTTGTAAACACCTAAGTGTCAAGAAACCTGATTTAGTGTAAAGGATTTCTTATTCATAAAGATGTGAAGACATCGCCTTATATACATGTTATAACCTAATTACATAAACCGTAATTAACATAATTTATACCCAACTCTATATAAATTACATTCTCAGCCCAATACTAAGTCACATAAAATTCCATATGAATATCAAATACCTTTTCTTCGTTATTGACAATTTGATCACTCTTCTTTGCACTGTTATCAACATTTGACACCTCAACCTCTTTTTCCAGTTATTCTTTGTTCCCTTTCGTTAACAATTTGAACTTTCGAAGGAGTTAATAAGGCTAGAACAAGAACTCTTAATCGTCCCTTCTCATATTTTTTTCCAATACCTCTTCTGAGACACGAGACCCTCTTAATTTTATCCAATATCTCCTACAAGCACATTAACATTATCAGATCCCCAAATATCTCTCCTTCGTCATACATCATCATATCTTTAACCATCTGATCGAACTAGAAGCTGCCAAGACTTTAGCATTATCTTTTTTGAGGGATTTCATCATTATCCTCTAGATACTCATAACTTCAATAAATTCACATGATTTACGAACTTCTTCTGTCTTACACTCAATAATTTCACAAACCTCTTATCACTTTCTACTTAAAAGTATCAGGCTTGATCCACGACATCTTGAACAAGATCAAATGCTTGTTTAACAATAGCATCATCATTATAGTCATATGCTTGTTTAACAATAGCATCATCATTATAGTCATTCACATACAATGCCTCAAAGAGATTCACGCAACTTTCCGAAACAAAATCTTCACTTTCATTTATCGTAAGCTTAAAGTCATAGAAAAAAATAATCCTTGTGTTGTCTACCAACGAATGCATCTTCAGTTCCATCAAAAATATCTCCAAGCATATTAGGGATATATGTAAATCTAGGGGAGTAAGTATAATTTCTATAGTGATAAGGATATATTCCTAATATGCATCAAACTATTTTCTTTGGAACTTGTTTCCACCTTCTCATGTGGACATTTTATCAGGTTCGCAATTTATTCAGGAGACACTTGGGCAACTTCTTTCTCTAAAAAGAAATATAGCATCAGAAATAAGATCACTACTCAAAACGTGCATCGGCATTACGATTAGATCAATAGTTTCTGGAAAAATCTATCCATATATAGATAGAAATTCCAAACTCGGTCAACCAAAACAAGTTCTAATTTCTCGACTGGAAGAATGTGAGTTTCTTGCGACTCTTAGGCCAAAGTGGGCTTCGAAAATGAGCTTGGGAGACAGAAGAAAGGTGGACTTACGACTTGTGAGTTGTAACAAATCCAACAAAGTAAAGGGATTCAAATCTAAATACGAATTAATAGGCATCAATGACTTATGTTTATAAGTTATTTACGTATGGCGTTATGGCCTCATGGGTATTCAATAAGATTAATAATAGGTTATGTAAAAAGGACGTTTAAAACGTAATTTGGTGGCTGCAAACATTTTAAATATGTTTTGAATATTTTTATGGTTAAACCATAAACGTGCAAGAAATCTAGTATGCATGTGTCGGATGAATTAATAGCATGGTTTTAATAATATCTTTCTATGTATATATGCTAGTTAATACAGATATACATCAAATCATCTGTAAGATACATATATATCTATAATCTAGTATTGAGAGCAATCTAACGAAGGAATATGAACATACAAATCGACAAATAGATCGTGATGTAAAAGATTGTAAATATAGACGACAGTCAAAAGAATCATAACACTGACCCCAGAAAAAAAAGACAAACACTACAATAATTTTGTTTTCAAGTAAACACTATACAAGAATAAATGTATTTTTTCGCATGTAAAAGCGATATTAGTTATTGTATTTAAATAAAAAATATTTTTATTAAAAATTTGGGAAGGATTGGACTACTGACCAAACTCCATAATTTAAAACAGTGTTCTCAGCTTGATGAATTGTATTCCTTATTTGGTGTAGTTACGTGTGTGCTTTGGAGTTTGCATGTGCTGTAGCCTTTGCAACCTTTCTAAGGGTCAATATAACATATAGTATATATAATATTGGTGACACATTGTCACACATCACACATATATTCAACAATATGTATAGTTAATATTATTGTGTTACAAAATACGACAAATGAAGAATAAAAAGGTTATAAGATAATCCCAAAAAAATATTGCAATAGAATGAGACGAAGTAGTGAGTCCAACTTCAAGCGAGACTGCGTACCTATATGTTGATGTTCATGGTTAACATACTATCCACGTACGGACTCTAAACTATATAATATATCACTTTTCAAAACTGAAATTTATAATATTTGTAATAGGATACATATTAGAGATATCATGATGTGTATACATAAACTAATTTTTTCAGCCGATGATTCTAGTAGACTAGCAAGTAGCGAAGTCACTATCAATTAAAAAAAAAAAAAACTCAACGACATGCATTTGAACCGAGTTCAATAGAGACACTGAAATCGAATAAAATCAACTAAACCGAAATAATCAAATGAAATAAATAATCCAATTATCTAAATGACTCGAAAACTCAATATATCTTATGTTATCTAAATTATAATCAACAAATTCAGACCAAAAGAAAAGCAAAAGGAACTTTTTGTCCTAATTAGAAAACATTTATTCAAACTCAATATACACGGAACTTGGATTGGATCGGAAAAAGTTATAATCCAGATCTACGTATAATCTTTTCGCCCACAATACAGTTACTACGGACCATCCTCATTATAAACTTATTTTTTTCTTGGGTCTAAATGTTATCCTCAATTATAAACTTAGAAGAGTTACAATCTTGAAATCTTCTGATTGAAGTACAATAAAGTCCATATAATGTAAAAAAAAATGTATAATTTGTTCGTTATCCATCGTTATAGTAAATGCTGCAGCGGCGACCCATGTGGGTATAGCCAGATTGCAATAACTTTGAATATTGCATGATACAGTAATATATATTTCAAATTATTTTCCTGAGAAATCAAAGTCAACCGTAAAAGGTCGGCGTTGCAGCTAACACCCACGCGATATCGTCGTCGACTCCACATTTTGAGTAAATTGTTAATGCTGTCTTCTTATATTAATTTGAGGAACATTTTTTTTTGTTTAGAAATTAGATTTTTATTTATTGCATTTCAAGGTACCACACTATCTGTATCCCACACTTCGGCATTAAATCACGCATCAACGGTAAATTCACCCTATTTTTGTTTATGTTCAACTTGGAATAGTCTATAGATTTAATGAATACTTTTTTAGTCGCAGCTAATATAACCTAATTGGTTGCATAAATTTGGTCAAAAAATTGGTTGATATTGCTTTGCAAAAAATGGGACAATATGTATATGAAATGGCTATTTGTACCCACTCAATCCGAATAAATTTTAATGAAAAAAATTAGTGCGTTCCACGTAATCACAATATATGCAAACAGATTGTAATTATCGACATAACTTTAATTTTCCCGTCCCCTAGCATTTGTAAATGATAGAGACTTGGGTAGTTCTTGTAATATTCCGATTAAAAAAACGTGGTGAAATGCTGGGGTGGTATTGGTATTTATATTGAGATGAGTCTCTCGTGTCAGGTGACAATAATTTTGGAACTTTATATGATTGCACAGTAAGATGAGCCCTACAGGTAACTTTCTTCAGTCAAAGACAGAACATCTCTATCTTACTTGTTTCCAGCTCTTTCCCATTACATTTTACCATAGGGTTTTTGTTGTTTTACCGCATTTCAAGATGCTTTAAATTATTAACCGTATAAATAAGTTTCTTTTTTTTTGGGTTTTAATATAGATAAGTTTTAACTATGCATAACAAATATTGAAGGAGTACATGCATACTTTGGAAAGTGGTTTTATGTTGGAAAAAAATCTGAGCTGAATTCTTTGGGCCAAACCGAAACTAACATTTTAGTGCCGCCGTGTCGGATATTGAATTATGTTTGTAATTGCTAATTTGTTTGACAAGTTATCGATCGTTCGTAATTAACTTTTTATTACTAGTGTAAAAAATTAACGACAATGATATTTATACGAAAAAATGTCAAGATAAACCTGGTCCCACCTCCCGAATTCCAAAGAAATCAGAGACAAAATCTAACTGTGTATTTGTATGTGTGATACAGATACAGATACAGATACAGATACACTGTGATTGGAAATTTGCATTAACGTTGTACTGATTTCTACGGAGTAATATATATATATATATCAATCCTCAGATATAATTAGTCCGGCTATTAAGGAGCTGTTCTTGTAAAATTGTGCTAAAAAATCACTTTTAAATTTAAATACATGGACGAAATATGAATAGAAAAAAATCACGTGCGTCTTATGTGAACACATTAATTTTAAATATTTCCGACGTTTACAAAATAAAAACCATTAAAAAAATGACCCAAGAAATAACAGTCAAAAAGTTGCAAAACAGGAAAAAATACAAATAAACGCAAAACCTCAAAAAATAAAAAAATCCAAATTATAAATAGTCCCTTCATGTTCATTTCTCCTTCCGACAACAACATAAAACACCTAAAACAAAATGGAGTTAATATCGACGGTAGCTACCTGGTTCACGCCGACGACTCTTTTCCTCCTTCTCAATCTTATGATCGGCACAATCGTTATCACTTCTCGATTCGGGTCGGGTTCAAGAAAACACCACCCGCATCAGCATCACGATGGGTTTGGATCGGGTCATGCTCCGGCTCCGTTAAACAGAGCTCCGTCGATTATCGACCGAGTCAAGTCCATCAATTTCCACCTCTACAAATTTCCTCATCCAGAAACAGAGCTCTTCTCGATGACGACCCACCACGATGTCATCGGGTCGGATCTTCACGTCTACCCGGACCCGAGTACAGCTCCGCTACAACGCGCTCCTTCTCTCTTGGATCGGGTAAAATCCATCAACATGTCTTCGTACTTCAAGTTCCCGCACAACATAACCGGGTCGGATCTTCACTCTCAGTCTCAGCCGGATGATCCAGCTCCGTTACAGCGCGCTCCTTCTCTTCTGGATCGGGTCAAATCCATCAACATGTCGTATTTCAAATTTCAGCAGTACAACCCGGAGGAGAGTGATTACGCTAACCACACGGAACCGACCCGATTCGAAAATATACCGACCCGAATGGGTCGAGTTGACCCGATTGATATCTCAAAATTCAGGATTCCTGTGGAAGACCAACCGACTGAATCCGGATTAAATAATCCAACTGACCCGCCCGGGCTAACTCGGGCTCCGTCAATCTTAGAACGGGTCAAATCCATCAAGCTATCCTCCTTCTACAGATCCGACCCGGATATCCACTCCGATCAAAATCCGGATCCAAATTCGGTTCTTCACGAAGACCACAAGCACGTACGGAGCAAATCAGAATCGAAGAAACCTGCGAAGAAGAAGAAGAAAGCTACGAACAAGATGACGAAATCGGCGAGCGAGAAATCGGGTTTTGGTTTCATTGGGAGCCAGGAGGCGGCGGAGACGGCAGAATCCGTCGAACGGAGAAGACCAGATACGACGAGAGTCGCGAGAACGACGACAGTTGGCGACGGCGAAGATTGCGTCGACGCGAAAGCTTCCGATTTCATCAACAAATTCAAACAGCAGCTGAAACTACAGAGACTCGATTCGATTCTCAGGTACAAGGAGATGCTCAAAGGCAACTGATACAAAAATTACTTAATTAGCCCTCGGTGGAGTTTGTATTTAACAAATGCTCAACCTCCTCGCCGTCGCGGTTTTGTTTCCCGCCGTTTTCACGGACAAGATACAGGACTGAACAGTGTTTGAATTACCGATAATACCCATGTATGTTGAGGATGATGAAGTAATTTACTAGTTATGTGAATTTATTGTTTTTTTAGTTCATATAACAGACAACAACAAAAAAAAACGCAGTTGCTTAGCAAAGTATGGCGTTATTTTTGGATCTGGACGTTGTTTTTGCGTCCAAATTCTATTGTTGGCAGTTTTCGAGATGTTTAGTACGTTTCCTAGGTTGGTTTATTCTATTTTATTTTGTTGACATTTGATACAACTATACAAGGAAGTGATATCATAAAGTGTAATGAACTTTGAGTTTCTTGGTGTTAATTAGTGTTAACCAATTATGATCATGAATCTATTCTATACACATACAAACAAATTTGTTCGTGCCATGATATATAATCTTCGTAATTTCTCCAACGTGTCAATATTCTGTTAAGTATTATTTCGAATTTTAAGATTATACGAGACTTTTTTTCCTAAAGGATTATACGTGTGACTTGTTAATAAAAAAGTTGATAAGTAGTGACCGGTATTATAATTCATTCCTTGTCAGCGATATGTCATTACATGTGATTGTATAATGTATTTTCCACAGAACCTCTTGTTTAAAGTTCGTTTTTGCTTTTATTGTTTCGTTAGTGTGCGGATTACTTATGAAAGTAACCATATGCCGATATGCGCAATGTCAGCAAACAATATTATTAGAGGGAAATAAGCTATAACATGAAACTGTTTTGATCATCAAGTGCCCCTTATAAATGTTGTTAGGGGAGTTATAATTACTTGCTATTTGCTATAAGCAAAAGCGTAGCAACTTATCAATATCTCTTGTAGTGTTTATATTTTATAAGGTCGAGCTAAGAACCACTAATTGATTCATTTAATACTCAGGTATATTCAATTACCTTACGCAATGCTCTTTGAATATTCATGATTGAAACCGAACAGAACTGTACTGTTTCAATTTTCGAAACTTAAAATATTTGTACAAGTAAACGCAATGTTGAGAGGAAACTAAAACCAAAAACATTTGAGTAGAAACGCCTAGTCATGGAAACAACGCGATAACATTTTTTTTTTTAAATGTCATCAATCTTAAAAAATAATAAAAATAGTACTATATGTATGAATGGAAATATTTTTTTAGTAGATGAATCAGAAATCTGGGGCTATATATGAATACGACGTTCTTATATTCACTGACTATGGGATAGACTTGACATTGGTTGTTAAACAAATCAAAACTTGTAAGATAAGGCGTCGTAATAATTAGGGTTTGGAAATCAAAGAGATCCAAATCAAACCCAACCAACCATAATTGGCCACGAAATTAAAACCTGGAATCGTTTACTCGTGGCTCGAAAAAGACTTTTTTTCATTTCCTAATTAAATTAATCTTCCTTCACCTTAATCATCCAACATCCATGTCTCTTTAGTTTACTTTTTTTGGATATCAAAACAATTCAAATTTCAATTCAATTTCGTTTTCTTCTCCCATTTTCCTAAATCTTTTCTTCATTTTGTTTTACAGCTATATGCTGAATTCAAGAGCACTTTTCTAATAAAATGGAGTTTTCTTAAGAAATTTACAAATATTGTTACCAATACATATTAATTTCTTCTTCCATTTTTATTACTATTATCATTTCTTAATGCTTATCCATCGTTAATTTTCTAAATTAATTTCACCTCGATGAAAAAAATGAATAGATTTGCTACACATGACTATTAGAGCATGAATATGTAGGCTACACATGACTAATAGAGCATCAACGTCTGGGTGGTGTAGTCGGTTATCACGCTAGTCTCACACACTAGAGGTCCCCGGTTCGAACCCGGGCTCAGACATAACAATTATTTTTTATTCTTTTCCTCGGCCCAATAATGAAACTGTAGATGGATAATATAGGGCCCAATTCTAACTCTAACAATACGAGACAGCTCAGCCATAGTCCGACTCATCTTCTTAGTGAATTCAATTTTATGCGATGTTAATTTTGTCAATATCCTATAGTACTAATATTAAAAGGATTTAAAAGTCCAAACCAAGATATATCTCCTTCCAAATATATCAAATATTCCGTGAAAAATTGTATCTTCATTATCTAATTTTTGTTTAATTTGTCTACTTCAATTCTTTGGTACTTATCATAAGAAATCATGAAATAATTAATTAATAATGTATTTGTTTGATATCAAACAGTGAATGAGAGAAAAAAAAAAGGATCGCTGAGGGGGAAATTATACCGGAATAAACCAAAACCGGTTGACAGACTAAGGCTTTAAGGTACGAAAATGTCGGGCCGTCCGGTTACGTCATATTTCCGGTTCTGGATGCTTGCTAGATATTGTGGGTCCACACATCAAAAAGCTGATAAAAGATATTCGTAGATTCGATCGGACTTTCGTAGGCCGATTACGTACAACTCGACCTCGACCAAGTAAAGTAAAACTTCTAAAAAGATAATACGTCATCGTATCAAAGCATCTCTACCCACTCTCACAAAATCACGAAATTTAACTTATACATTTGATAGTGTAGAAAATAAAAGATGGAGAACATGACTCGATTTCAGCTATATATTTCTACAGTAGCGTTTTTTACTCGTCTCATAGCTATCAAAAAAAGTTTTAAGTTCAAATATTAATTTAGAGTATTTTTTAGACCACATATAAATGATGGATTGGTTATCAGCAAAACAAAAAGAAAAAACAGTGATTGATAGCATATGTCGCAAAGCTTACGATAAAACCAAAAGTATTTTTCACTAGTATTAAAAATTATTTATGGCTGGTTTTTACGATAAATCTTAGCTTATATTTTAAACATTTATAGCATTTTAAACCATTTACAAGTGATTCATTGGTTATCAACAGCAACAACAGTTAAAAAAACCGTGATTGATAGCATATGTCGCAATTTAACGTTAAAACCAAAAAAAAATCAAATCAAATCAACATTTAGAACTAAAGAATTATTTTTCAGAAACAAATTAGGATTTTTCATTGTTTTTTTCGATAAAATCATAGTTTGTGAGAAATTTTATCGTACCAAATCAATCACGTCCGTCAAAAGAGAACGAAGAAAAAAAAAAAAAAAGGAGAGATCGAAAGAAATGAATAATGTCAGAGAATCAGAGTGAAATATTTTGGTTACATGGAAAAGAGCCGGGAAGAAATTTCCAAGATCGTGGACCCACCTTCAAGATTCCCTTATAACATTTTTTTTCAAAATCCTACCTGTTTTTTTCTAAGAGACTTTGATTTGGTCCAAGATCGAGTTGATTTTGTTGTAGGATCCTGCCAATATATAATTAATGTCACATTCTCTTCCGACACATTTCACAATCGTATAAAGCATGGCCAAGGTGTCTCGTGTTTTTCATGTCCATGACTGTTTACAATATATATATCATATATGTCTTTTGTAGTTTTGTTATGTGTCATGTGTATGTTTTCGTGTATGTACGCGATATAGAATAGACATATATACTATATATATGTTGACATTTATCCGTTGACTGAAATATGGAACCATGCATACTTTTCCGTGAGTATTAGCGTGAAAATCAATAATGATTTCGAAAGGATTAGCTCTACTAAAAGTCAAAACCATAATCATTTCATGGCTCTGAAATTAGATATCATGAAAACAGTAGCAACAGTTTGCTAAATGTATTGATGATTTATTAGTGTTACGAGAGAGTACAGGTTTGTAAACCATTACTACGTTACAGTTATTAGTAAGTTTGGGGTTCATATCCGACAAATACGAAACAACCATATTTTAGTCTCATCTATAGTATACTATATAGTCACTTTAAGAAAAACTGTTTGATAACTTATAGTTTTATAATTAATGACCAATTGATATACACGATACGAAAGAAAAAGAAAATTACTAACTGATTTTTAGATAAGTAAATTTTAAAAGAACGAGATTAAACATGTAGGAATCGAACCAAATATTAGTACCGAACAGTTTTTCCTTTGATCAAAAGAGCAAATGATCGATCTTTTGCCCGAAAAGAGAAATAGATTGTTAATAATGAAGGAAATGAGCAAATATATTAAAATGTAAATATTACTAATTTTTAATATATTTTTTAAAATTGTAAAATAATCTAACCGAGTAATCTCCTCAGCGTGAATGAAATATGGATTAATGCAATATATAAACGATGGGAGAATAGATCTGTTCCATCTATAAATTCATAGGTTCTGAAAGATCTCGTTCTTATTTTATTCCTATGATCGCACTACCATTTGTATATACTTAAAAAAGAAGAAGAATATCTTCATATTTATCTACTATGGAATCACATTCAAAGCCTTATTACAACGTTACAAGATGTTCGAACAACCACTTCATTTTTTTCTTTCTCGAATTTTGAAATAATCATAGAAGTCTCGATGTTATCTGTTTCGTTATATATAATATATAGTAATAATATGATCGGTTAATAGATATCTCTACTTTCACATGGATATTTAGTTATAACCATTTCAATGAAAACTATGTGCAACAAAGAAGTGGTCCACTTCACTTAGAAATTTAGAATCCCTACGAAGATCTGCATGGATTTCCTTAGTCCCCACCTTCACTTTCCTTTTTCCTTTTATTACCAAACTGAATTATTGTAATTGTATGGATTAAATTTCCACATATCCACGTCACATTTTAGTTACGTTACTTCCACAACTCCATTTGTTTTTGTTTCTCGAAACCCGTAATATATTTTTGATTTACTATCACCATTTAAAAAATTCAAATCAACTAATGACTGTCACCAATAGGTCGATCACATATATGCTCGGTCTAGCATGAAACTCATAATATACTTTAATTTTTGCATTGTAACTTGATCAAAATATGTCTGTATTAATAAAATATCAATTATAAACATTCTGAAATCATTGTAAATAAAACACCAGAAGCCAAGGTTATGTTTTGTGTTGTTTTTTTAATGTTTAATTATGTGCGAAGTGATACTTTTTGGCAGAGAATCCATTGTTTGTGTGTTGTAATCCGAATTTAAATCTAATATAATATAATTTTCAATAATAAAAAATATTGTTTGCTTTTACTCTTTTGAAATTTTACAGAGTTTAAGTTTAATATAATACTAAGTGTGAAAAACAAAAGAAAAGTTGTTTACTTTTACTCTTTTAAACATCTATTGCATGACTTTTATGACGACGTCAACTAAACTTTGATTGGTTATAATGCTCCGTACAATCATACCAAAATATATTTTACAGTATTTGCAAGTTTAAAATCATTATTTTTCAAATTAAAATCATAAATTGTTTCAAATTTTGATAAAAATCGAATAAAATTTTAAAACATAATTGAAAGCTATCGATGGTACCACACTTCCCAATCACTCGTAATTTTGAACTCTCTGTTTAGTTACATTTCTCTATCCAAACATAAAACATGCGTATGCCTTTGTTATATGACATTACGTATACCGTTTTGGTACGTGTGTTGATATTTTCCTTTGTACTTGTATTAATCGTCAAGTTTTGGGCGGCTGTGATAATTCGTTCTTGTATTTAATGTTGAGAACGTGGTTGTCGGGATGACTTGTTAGTAGTTAAATCTTCTGTATGGTCTAAAAATGAATTAATCCGCACTTTTGTTTGGTAAAAACCCACTTAAAGCTGTTTAAACCTGCCACCTGACTAAACAGTGAATATTTCAACTTCTAATGCAAATATTCTAAAATAGCTCCATGATTATTTATTTATTTATTTATTCATCTAGGACCAAATCGTTTTTTCTAATTGGGTTGTACACGTTAAGTTTGTTGGACTCTGATACTATGTGAAACTATGTATTTCTAGTTTGTTGGCAATGAATAAATATCCTATATCTTTATATAGTAGTTCTGAATCATTTTTATTTTTAATCTGGGATATTTTAACATACTTGTTCGAGATGATGATGTTTTTGGCCCATTCATCTCAAAAGTATTTGTTTTCTTCGACTTGTACTCGTTTGAGCTTGTTAGCTCTAATATCATAAGAAATAATAGATTTTTAATTTATAACAACACTAAGTTTTTGGTTAATTTTTTTTTCTTCCACAAACCAGTTTTCAATTGACTATTTAGACCCAAAAGTTTAACAACCAAATAATTAAAATGAATTGGTTGCACACGCCCACAAGAAACTAAAGTCTACAAAGTTACTGTCTTTCTTTTCTGACGTGCTCTATATTTACTTAGATCGCAATAACGTTTGCCAATTATGCTAAACCATTTTTTTCACCAACCCATAAGTAAAAATGAACAAAAGTACATTTAACTTATCGAGGTGCTGCGCACATGCGTCTTGAATCTTATAATGATGAATGGATAATATAAACCAAGGGAACATAAATGGAGCATGATGATGCATGGCCAAATAAAGGTTCAAGACAACTCAATAGTAGCTCTTTAATTAAATATAAAGATATACGAATATAACAAAATGTGCCCACGAATTGAAATGATTACCCTAATTCCCTATATTCCTTCTTTTTGATTTTTTTGCTCCAATCCAATTCCATTATTACGACCTGTACAGCTCACAAAATTTTAATGATTTTCTTCTTCTCCTTCTTTTTTGTTTTGCATCCTGAGATACAATTAGAGTATATAAAAATTGAGCGAAGATCTTCTAAATTTGCAGGTTCCAATTACGGGGCCACCTTTATGGGGGGTCATGATTACTATTTTAACAAGTTGATTTTAGCACCGTTAATCACTTGTCGTTTAATTTGGTCGTCTTTCAAATATTAGTTTCTTAAATCATCGTTGATAAATTATTTGGCGACACGAAGTTGTAAAAGTAGGAAAGAAAATGACAACTACACGTGCGTCTAGCACGGTTTTGCTGTCCGGTTACAATGTCTTTATGTTTGACAATCGATAAACTATTTGATCAGGAAAAAGGATATGTATGGTAAAGAGCAAATAGTTATCCTTCTACGATTTTTTTTTGGTTTTATATAGTTATAGATATCAAATGCAGTTGGAGATATATTTATTTGTAGAATTATAAATCCGTAATTGTTATGGACACAGTGTTTGAAACTAATAATCAAAGACAATATGCTCATTTGTTAGCCAATGAAGCTTTTTCCTTTTTTTTTTTTTTTCTCTCTCTCTCTCTTTTTTTAGTAAGCAGTATCGTTGTGAGTGAAAGATAATTAAAGTAAAGACAAAAGCTAGTCTGAAATTGTTATGTGATTTCTTACGCAATCACAAATATAGTTGGAATACACAAATATAACGATCAGAACCTAATGAAATTTGTTAATGAGGCTGTCAATGAAAATGACATATATAAGAATAAAATTGTATACTAAGTTGAACTAAACGATTCAGTATTTGAGTTCCCACTGAACTCAACTATTCTGTATCACTCCTAATTATACTCGTCTTATCTTGTAATTACTTAAGATATTTCAATTTAATAGTAATAGACAACTACAAAAATTCATAAAAGTAATGATAAAATATTTGTGGCGACAACAAGTTAACATGTGGCAAAAGAAGCAAACAGAACAAAATCTTGAGGATATTCCATGTCTTGCTTTTTATTGTTTATTTACGGCACAATGATTAATCACGAATCTACGAAGTTAAGCCTACAATTGTTCTTTTTATGAAATTAAAGATAAAATTTCTTTTTAATATTATAATTAACGACACTTTTCGATAGCCGCGAGGAAGAAAAGTTTATAAATTATTCAGCAGACCTCAGAGGAAGAAGATCTTATAGATTTTTTCTGATGATGACCTAATTGTCACAAGGAAACATCATCTAGTAGGGATGGATATTAATGAGAAACATTCTAAAAACATTAATTTATGCAAGGCAGATTTGTTATAATATGCAGTTGATGAATCGTGTTATAATTAGTGACAAACGCTTTGAATTGTATAATTTAAAGGAGACAAACAAATTATAAAAATTCTGATAAATCGATGGCAACTCTAAAAAGTTTTTGATATACTTGTTTAGAGTTTGATGGTATGAAACAAAGAAAACATTTGATAAATATATTTCTTTAACGATTAGAAGATTCTATATCGTAACAGCACATCTCCAAATCTGGAATCAAAGCATGTTAGATGGCTTCGTTTCAAGTGTCAGTTGATCTTGGAACTTCTAGATTTTCTTACCGTGAAGCAAAGATTCTAGCTATAATGCCAAGTACCAAAGAAGCACATGACAAACTCATATGGTATAAAACATATTTCAAAGGGTTTGTTCTATAAAGTGAGATACTACACCGTTGGAGAAGATCGAGGGAGTTAGAGATGTGAGAGATCGAAAACAAATATTCCCTCCGTTCCTGATGTTTTAAAAAAAAAATTTGTTTCACAAAGTTTGATTTTTTGGATTATATATAATCTATTTCTTTTTTCGAGAACACTTTATTTTTAGAAAGAGAGAATATACATTAAAATAACTAATATAAAAAATATTAAAATAAAAAAGTAACTGAAAAGAATAATTAATGATTGCTTTTTAAAACTTGTGAAAAATCAAAAAAATCATACATTAAAGAACGGAGAAAGTATGATCTGCAATGCGGATATATGGACCATTCAAGCATGAAGCGTTCCCAAAAATTTAAAACTTTCTCTAGAAAGCAAGTAGGAGCCCTTCTAAAACACCCCTTCTATTATTAGATGGAACTCCATATATACTTAAAATGTGTTTGGTTATTTGTACATGTGTTTGATTTTTATGTTTATTTCAATAAATAAATAAACTTTACTGAGCTGATAAACGGAATTCTAAATCCGATGATTTGATTATACAAAAGATAATTGAATCTATCTTTGTAATTCAGTGTAAATTCAGATCCTTTTTGATATATATATATATATTTTTTTTTTTCTCTAAATCATTTTGTTTTTAAATGTATAGATGGGAATGCAGTTTAAACATAATATAAAATTTACCCAAGTTATAATATTTTACGTTGTGATCTATCCGAGGTACAGGATTCGTTGTCCGTGGAGAAATATTTTTACGTTCTGATCTAAGGCCAATATCCAATCCCCATGATGATTATGGTACATGCCGATAAACCCTTTTTGCTATTTACAACTAATCACGATTATGATGATGATTATGGCCGGTGGTGATGGTGATGATGTTAATTTTATCTATTATCGCTTATCACTCAATCAAATTTAATTAGTTCCCCCTACAATATTAGTGGATATTTAGTGGTTGTAGGTCTCGATACTCTAAATATATATATCTACATTTGAAATGTGATTGCTCAATTTTCTTTTGGTCACACATATGAAATTACTATAGAAATCAATGTAGTAGTAATGTACAAAATGGACTGTGGAATATTTTTGCAAAAGCATTTGACTAGCGAGCGACAGCGTGCGTGTTCAAGAAGCTGAAGTCGAAACCAGTGATTTTCTAAGATTCTCACGTGACTAAGATGATTTATTGTGGATTTTCTTTTAAAATAATAGCATATTTGAGTGTATATTCCGCGTATTATAGAACTTATAACATAAGCTTACAATATATCTTAAATACAGAATTATATAATCATAGCAATTAACAGTTTTAGTCGGGTGGGTCAACTGGAATAACTAGCTAATTATATAAATATGCATTAATTAAAATTATTATCCAGAAAATAAAAACTAGTTAATACAGAAGAACAAAACAGAAAAAATCAAAAAATGAAAATGGAGTTTAATTATCTCAAACAAAACAACTTACAAAACCCCGTACAGTACATGTGTCATGCGTGGCTATAAATATACACATCTGCTACTCTTCGTTGATAGAATCAAAGCTTAAGTGATCATTATAAAAAAAACATTTATTTCTCAGCAAACAAACTATGGGGAGTTATAATTTTCCATCACAAATTCATCTTCTAGTAATAACACTACTTATCAGCATAACTCTTTTAACACCGATCACAACCAATACATCACAACCATGGGATATCCTTTCCCACAACGACTTCGCCGGCAAACTCACCACCGCCTCATCCGCCGTTGAATCAGCCGCCACCGATTTTGGCCACGTTACTAAAATCTTTCCCTCAGCCGTCTTAAACCCTTCCTCCGTCGAAGACATCACCGATCTCATAAAACTCTCTTTTGACTCTCAATCCTCTTTTCCTTTGGCCGCTCGTGGCCATGGACACAGCCTACGTGGTCAAGCCGCCGCTAAAGACGGAGTCGTGGTCAACATGCGGTCAATGGTAAACCGGGACCGAGGCATCAAGGTGTCTAGGACCGGTTTATATGCTGACGTGGACAGTGCGTGGCTATGGATTGAGGTGTTGAACAAAACGTTGGAATTAGGGTTAACGCCGGTTTCTTGGACGGATTATTTGTATTTAACGGTCGGTGGAACGTTATCTAACGGCGGAATTAGTGGACAAACGTTTCGGTACGGTCCACAGATCAGCAATGTTCTTGAGATGGATATTATTACTGGTACGTACCATGATATTTTACATATATTCTAAATATATATATGCAAAAAAATTCATCTCGTATATATATGAAATTATAGTAAACTTTGTACGTTTGGCGACAAAAGTAAAAATAGTATTTCGTACGTTTTTCGTCTTTTCTTTTAGATCTGCGCGGTCACTTATGTTTGTGCTCTTGTCTTGTTTGTATTGTTTTTGTCTCTCTTTTTTCTCAAACTTGTTGATAGTTTTTCTTCTTTTCACACATCCATCTAATCACATACTATTTTCTTGTGTGATAAAAATAGAAAAACACGGACAAGGTATGAAAATAGGTGGTTGTTTTAAAAGCTTCTTTTTGGTAGAAGATTTAGCTGGAGAGTTAATTAGCAATAGATGATTTAGCATTTTTGCTGTTAGCAACAGGAGATTTCATCGTTAATATCGTGGAAAGAAACAAAGTTTCCGTTGTATACGTGTAACTATAAAATTAACACACATAGATAAAATCTATATAGCTTTTACTTAAAACGCAACAAAAATCTTGATTTAGTGTTTTTTTTTCAATTATATTAACATAGTATTTTACGAGGGTAACTAAGTAAACTGTTTTTGTAAATTAAAATTTTATACTTTCTTTGAAAACTTCGTCGAAATTAAGTCTGATTTCTGCGAAATTTACATAATGGTCATACATTAATATTAGGTAACTTTCATAAAAACCCGGTGACAAAAAAAAAATCAACCAAAAATGGGCCCACGCGCATGATTTTTTCACGAGGTTTCTTGTGGCGTAAGGACAAAACTCAAAATTTCATAACGTTTGGTCCAAACCAGGTGTAATGGTTTATAGTAACAGTCAATATTCTTGTTATAGTTAATAGTTGTACCCATCATGTCCACATATGCATCCATAGTTCGATATATATATACATATTATACTCATACATACATTTTGCTGGTCTCAAGTGTAGTTAGTTTATGAAGACTTTCTAGTTCCGTTGTTTGGTTAGGATATAAGATAAATTAATGAGACCGACATTACACTTTATAGGTTTCAAAGCAAGGATAGTTTTATTTGAAACTCGCTGCACTGTTGCATAAATTATGATAGTCTTTGTGTATTCTTGTATAACGGTCCAAATTTGTTGAAATAATTTAAGACTAAACTTTCTAATTGGGTCAAATTTTTTTATTTTTTTTGGAATTTTATAGGAAGAGGAGAGATTGCAACTTGTTCCAAAGACATGAACTCGGATCTTTTTTTCGCCGCGTTAGGAGGTTTGGGTCAATTCGGAATCATAACAAGAGCCAGAATTAAACTCGAACTAGCTCCAAAAAGGGTATTTGAAGTTTGTGAATTATGGTTATGGTATGTAACTAAGAAAAACTTGATCAAATATGTATGTTTAAACATATCTCTATTTTTGTAAAACTATCAGGTTAAATGGTTAAGGTTTCTATACGCTGATTTTACCGAGTTCACAAGAGATCAAGAACGACTGATATCAGAAACGGACGGTCTAGATTTCTTGGAAGGTTCCGTTATGCTGGACCATGGCCCACCTGATAATTGGAGATCCACTTATTACCCACCGTCCGACCACTTGAGGATCGTCTCAATGGTCAAACGCCACCGTGTCATCTACTGCCTCGAAGTCGTCAAGTATTACGACGAAGCTTCTCACCATGCAGTCAACGAGGTCCGTACATACATATGTATACACAATTATGCTAGTATGATTAGGATCTTTACTCATAATTTAGCAACTCTCTTATAATTAAAAGTTAATTAATTTATTCAATAATCCCACAGGAAATGGAGGAGCTAAGCGAGAGTTTGAACTATGTAAGAGGGTTTATGTACGAGAAAGATGTGACGTACATGGATTTCCTAAACCGGGTTCGAACCGGAGAGCTAAAACTCAAATCCAAAGGCCAATGGGATGTTCCACATCCCTGGCTTAACCTCTTCGTGCCAAAATCTCAGATTTCGAAATTTGATTATGGCGTTTTTAAGGGTATTATCCTTAGAAATAACATCACTACCGGTCCTTTTCTTGTTTATCCCATGAATCGCAACAAGTAAGCTAAAATCGATATGGCGATATGTACATTTTTCAAAGCGTTTAAATCCAAATTCATTTTAATTAACTCAATTCGTTTTGTTTCAGGTGGAATGATCGGATGTCGACCGCCATACCCGAAGAAGAAGTGTTTTACGCGGTAGGGTTTTTACGATCGGCGGATTTTGACAGTTGGGAGGATTATGAAAAAGAGAATATGGAAGTGTTAAAGTTTTGCGAGGAAGCTAAAATGGGGGTTATACAATATCTTCCTCATTATTCATCACAAGAAGGATGGGTTAGACATTTTGGTCCGAGGTGGAGTATTTTTGTAGAGAGAAAATATAGATATGATCCTAAAATGTTATTGTCCCCGGGACAAAATATATTTCAATAAATAAATAAACTTGTGTTAGGCGATATGATTAATTATACTGTTAGTCGTTCTCACTTTTGTGTATTTATATCTGTTTTTCTTTTTCAACAAAATAGGTTTAAATGTTTGATGGCCATGCTTCTCAAGTTTTCATTGATTCTAATTGTTATATTAAGTATTAATTTTGACAAAAAAAAACAAAATTAATATCGTGCATAATATGCTACAATTCTACTTGAGTAAATTTTATAAATGTGGGAGATTTTTGGTTATAAGAAAATAAAATGAAAAACATAATGATAGTAAGAAAGTGGAAACTGAAAGGAAAGTGAAGGACGTGATCCTAAGATTCGAAAGTGAAACTGAAAGGAAAGTGGAAATTCTATCTTCTGTTTTGTAAAATAAAATTTTAACATCCATATTAAACATTTCATTAAACGAATAATAAATAATTATGTCTGAGAAATGTCCCCAAACCTTTTTGTTACAGTATGCGGGAAAGCAGGAGACATCCACACTTCTTGCCTCCTTTCTGTTTTTTTCTTTTTCTTTCCCTGCTTAATTTTTAATACATTTTTTTGTACTTTCAAGATCTTGGTCGAACGAAATCCAATATTTATCATCTTTTTTTTTAAAAGAGATTTTTTAAAAGAAATATTAGAAGATCAAACATGAAACTAAACTCTAGTGAAGCAGGAATATGATAACTGTTTTGGAAGAGAAGACCAACTCGTCATTGAATGAAAGTAAACCAAGTGGAAAGATAGCTTTGTGTCTCTGGACATCTTCGCTTCTTCTTTTTTTGCTTGTAATGTTTATATCGTTCAATTGTATCGATTCTTTTCTCGATCTCTATATGTTAGGCATATTGCTAAAGTACTTATCAAAATCGACACTCGTTAATAATTACACTTATGTATTATTATTAGATTCATCCTTTTCTATTATAATTTTTATGATCACTTAAAATATATGATGATATCAAAGTATAATAGTCCCTACATTTATAAATACATTGCTTTGATCATTTGTATAAACTTTGTTTTAGGGAAAAAAAACAATTGTAGAAACTACAATACCACTATATTGTACTTAATTTATCAAACAAAACAAGAAAACGACAAAAACGTCGTGAAAAGTGGAAAGCATATGATGAAAGCTGCAGCCGTTAGCTTTGTGATCTGAAGGGAATCTCCTACCTCATTTTTCATAATAGTAAGTACCGAATATTTATATAGTATAATGTATTATTTATTCTGTTAAAGAGTATAATGTATAGTATAAACAATATATTATGTGAAAAGGTCGAAACGTTTAGAGATAGCTATCTAAATATATTATAATGCAAAATCTCATTGCATCATTACTGAAAATATAATCATGAGATTGCCTTGCATTTCTATCCTTTTAAATGTTACTAGGTCAAAAAAAAATATTACAATTTTTTTATCATCATAAATAAAAATAATTGTGAAATATATAATTAGGAAAACGTAAAATATGATTTTACTCACTCAGTTTCTTTAAATTTAATGTTATAGGTGATATGCTCAAATTTACCCTTAGAGCTACTCTCTTAAATTAAGAAATCACTGTAGTATTTAGGGATCAAATTCACAAGGAATTGAATTGTTGCACAATAAATTTCAGGTTCAAATCAAACTAAGGAAAACTAAATAAATATAATGCAAGTAATGAAAAGAAAGCAGCAAATCGATTGTGAGGAGGTTTTAAATCAAAGAGAAAAACGCTAGGCCTTGGAAAATTCACAGGTGAATCCGAATTGCAAATCTAGACAGAATGTTAGGAATTTATTAAGCACTGTTCTTGAACTTGAAACATTAATATAAAATCAATCAATTTCCGCTGCAGAGATTATCTATGTCTAAATCCTAGAATCTCAAATTCCTTTGCAAATCCTATTAATTCAAACAAGCATTAAAATCAGGTTCAATTGTTCACAAAATCCTAAACCAAAGTCCTTTGCAGATAGGAATTTTGCTCATCTAAGATTAGTTCTGGTGATTAACAATACTTCCGCATAAATTAATCAACCTAATATCAGATTCTAGGTCATAAATCTAGAATAAGCATTAAACACAAATCAAGATGAAAAACTCTAATGATTTTATCCTAACAATTCAATTCAACCTAGTAATTCATCATCACCTTTGAAAAACCCTAAACCTAACAAGCAAATTACTCAGACATGATCAATGAAACAGAAATCATAATTTGAATAGAAAGCATAAGAGAAATCAATATAAGAAATAAAGGAGTTCAAAATCCTCTCTATGGAGAATGATTTATCTCTCCAAAAACTCCCTAAAAATCACTCTCTTAATCTCTTTGTAAAATAAAGCTTAGGTCTAAACAATGACCATAAAAATCCTTTTATAGACCCAGAACATGATTTGGGGAGAAACTGCAAATATATAAAACTTCTGGGCGAACTTGTAAGTCTTCAGAAATCTTTAAACAGTCGGGCAAGATTTGTGCACTTTTGATGTCGATCGACACCAAGGCCCTAGTGTCGATCGACACGGGATTTGCACGCGTACTGCACAGTTTCTGCACGACAGTGTACAATTTGTGCACGACTTGATTTCTTCAGCAACATCTTCTGTTTTTCTCCAGAATGCTCCAATACCTCCAAATAAGCTCCAAACATATCCAAACCTGTAAAGACTCAAAAAAACTCAAAAAATACCAGAAAGACTCTATAAACAGGACTTATATCATGATCAAAAACCCATAAAAACCATGATATATCAACTCCCCCAGACTTAACTTTTGCTTGCCCTCAAGCAAACATAAAACTAAATATAGAGTCGAGGTTTGAAAAGCGGTAACTCACCTTCTCATAGATCATTGCTTTGATTGTTCATCTTGTAATCCACAAACTGCATTTTTTTAAAACCAAATCGAACAACCATGTACTTCTCCTTAGACATTCACAACATCCCAGATTCAACACATAAATTCACAGCTTTGTCCAATAACTATCATTGCTAAACTTCATTAGCAGTCTAAATGTTTAAGAACCTTCTAGATTCATTCCCATACTATACCTAAATAAATTTTCACTGCAATCTATCAACCTTTGGTACTCTTTCTCTCCCCCAGACTTATTCTTTTCTTTATGTTTCATTATATTATTCAGGTGTAGGTAAATAATGGTATCACGGGAAAATCCTAACCTTACTTCCACCTGTGATCATCTCTTTAAAATGAAATACTAGGATCATTGGAAATTTTTCCTACCCTTCACTCAAAGAGAATCATCTCAAATTTTCAAAATTTATCACATAATTTCTTTCTTTTTCTTTAACTATCAAGGAAGAGGAGTACCATCACTTTTCAAATATTGCAGACAATTTATCAGGTATGAATGAAGAATCAAGCTCTATGAACATTAAACTTACTAATTTAGTCTTTTTAAAGCTCAAGTTAAGTGGACTTTTCTGGAACTATGGATGTTTCTGGTTAACTGGTCAGCGTAAAGATTTTTTATTAGTCAGAAACTGATATTAATCATGCTGTAATGGTCAATCAGATGAAACAATCAGCGCAAACAATCAAGAGAAAGATCCTAGTTTCCAACTAGTTTTGACTCAATAAAACAAATTTTGGACTAACTCAAAACTGACTCTAAAAAACAAACACAACGTCAACAACTACCTCCCCCAGACTTAAACAACACTGTCCCCAGTGTTATCAAGCTTGAAGTAGGTGAAAAGAAGAATTAGAACTCAGTGAACAGAGGTTTTCGAGAAATATACCTTGTAGGTCGGATGAATGAGTGATAGAATGTGAAAGAGCACAAAAAGCCAACCAGTTTTGGCTTTTGAATCACTCAAAAAGCTCAAGTAACGCAAAAGTTATGGATGATTGAACTTTTGGAGTTGCAGTCCCGTCAAGGTGTCGATCGACACCAGGTGGGTGTCGATCGACACGGTTTACTGTCGACCAAGGTGTCGACCTCGGTCGATATCTGTCCGTCTCGAATCAAACTTTTATTTATTTATTTTTTTGAAACAGAAACACCAAAACCAGTTAGTAAAAAACCAAAAATAAGACTAAGTATGTACACTTACCAGTGGGTTGCCTCCCACTAAGCGCTTGTTTTCAGTCTTTAGCTTGACTTTGTCGGGGTTCAGAGATCTGGTGGATCAGAGAGTGGCAGTGAATGCTTCTGGAAACAATGTCTCCTCATCCATAGTGGTGTATAAGCAGTAGGTGCATGAGCTCTTCCAAGGAAGTGAGGAACAATAGAAGGGTGGGATATGACTTTGGGTGGGATACTTCTTTTTCCTTCATGACAGGAAGCCTTCCAAATATCTTCTGGTTTGGTCGATTTTGGGTGACTCTGCGGAGGGTGTCGATCGACACTAGGTGGGTGTCGATCGACACTGAGTTCAGCAACTTGAATCTCTGCAATTTTCCTGCAGTTCAACACTGCAATCCTTGCCTCCATCACAAATTCGTCTTCCTCAAACAACTTGTCAGGGATTAGAACCTCTTCTTCGAGCCTAGTCTTGAAGATATGATCTTCACTCCAATCCTCAAACGCAACAAATTTCTCAGAAGTTTCAGACATTGCCTCTTGAATAACCACCTTGTTCACTTGCTCACCAGCATCTGACT